GTCCTCGGAGGTAAAGCATCAATTTTGCAGAAGATTGCCGACTTAACAGATTGAGGCCTGCAGCAATGATCCGAGGTTTAACGAAATCCGTCTGTAAGATTGACGACTTTGAGTTTGCTTATCAGCTGCTTTTACGCGTCTAGTTTCTGCTTTTCCGGTCGCGTTTGGCCTTATAGTCAGGCTCCCTCGGTGTTGCTTTACTGTTTAAAATGAAAATGCGCGGAAAATCTTTCCTGTTCTGTTAATACTTTCGATCTTCCTGACTATGTGAAGAATGATGTGTCAGAAGCTGTCTGCGTTTTATGGTGATGTTCATTTTCATTGTGCGTGATTTTTTGAATGTGTTTGCAATTTCACAATCATTAACCTTGCAGTCTTCTGTCAGGTAGGTTAGAGAAAATACTTTCCCTCGCGATTTTTCACAGTAGATTTGAGTTTGTGAAGTATGCTACAAATGTTTACTAGTTTCAGTGTTCTGAAAAGGAGACTGTCTGCTTCCTGGCAGTTTATTTAAAGTGTATGGCGTAAAATTCTCCTTCCGTTCTGTTACCTTTCCACTGAAAATAATAATCCTTTGTTTCAACAGCTAATTTTCCTCCTTAAAAAACGGATACGCCCTCGTTTCCATGTTCCCCCGCCTTCACCAGCCCAAAATAAACAGTTCTTAGCGGTCTGACTTTGGATATGAGTTGTACCATCAGCGAGTTTATGACATCATTTCTCGGAAACCAAACAAACGGAAAAGCGCTCTATGTTACATGGCTCTTAGTTCACTATAAGGATCACAGTGAGAACGAAGTTGAATTTTCTGCCAGTGCAAGATAAATCGCGGTTGCTGTTTCTTGCCTCCTTGGCATATTCGGCCGAAAACCCCAAACCTGGGCCTAGTCTCATTTAGCCCTCGGTCCAGCAGCCTACCACTGACCCGAGGACCCACGACTACGTCATGTAACGTCATATGGGAGTGATCGTTAGTGATTTATCCTTGTTGCAGGCGCTCCATACATTACTGAAGATTATCCGTTTGGGAATAACGGTTATTACATAACTTATTTCCTTCATTTTTCTCAAATTCTACACGAGGAGTATTTTTAACTGATCACTAATATGTTGTGTATCTTCTTCAAAGTTCTCAAAGTAGATGACTCACTGTTTTTTTTCGAAAACTTTCTATTCCCTCCCCCACCCCGGGTTGTCGTAAATGGAAACGAGTATAACTGTCGTGCTTTTTGTTTTTTCACTCGTCCACCCAACCTTCACTTTTACGATAGATCTTTTAGACTTTTGTTATCGCAAACGCCACCCATCACCGTCCACATCAAAACAACAAGATCGCACAATAATTACCTTTTAGCAGCTGTTTATGCTGCCTGAGTTGTGTTTTTGCAGAAGCAACAATAAAAGAAGCATGACTACGGCTGCCTCTGGGCTTCAACTGTGCCGCCTCCGGACTCAAAAAAATGCATGTAA